TTACATTATCTCCAGTGTTCGACAGGGGAATGAACTAAGATCAGTCTATAAAGACTTTTCACTGGCCTGTGGACATTTCCTGCGATGGCATTTTCTTTCAGCAGTTTGGTTTTGTGGTTATCTGTTTATGCTGTTGTCTTTCTGGTATAGTAGAACCCATCTTCCCAACCTCCTGCTAGGCACTTTCTGGAAGAGTCACTCAGTCCTTGGTTATACCTGATGCTATGAATGATAGAGATAGTAGCAGTGCTGAATCTTTTCTCTTTATTTTGAAAAGCACTAGATCCTTTTTATGTGGCAGACGACCCATTCCCCTTCCCCTACCCCATCACCCTTAGTGTAGGGAAACTTATTTCAATATTGGTTTGGGAAAAAGTGGCAGCTTAGAAGCCAAACAGAGATGGTTTCTGATCCCAGATCTTCTACTTACCAGGTGGATGACTTAGCAAATTTACTTACTCTGTCTGAGTTCCCATTTCCTTATCTATAAAATAGGGGCAATATTTTCCTCTTTGAGTTGTGTGAGGGTACCATGATATTATCAATATAATGCACCTGGCTTAGAACTTGGCATATGGTTGGAGCTTCCCACAAGAGCTTATAGTCTTAGATGACGGAAATGATACATCCAAATAACCTTTTTCCTGCTGTGGAGGATAAAAATGACACATAGAGCCTTATTTCCTATTGTAACCCTTGTCATTATCTTCCCCTTTTTTGGGGAGCAGTAACAGAGGGAAGGAGTTGACAAGACAAAGCAAGTGACTGACTCTAGAGAAGTAGATAAAGTAGTGGGAATGTGCATTAGTGATATGGTTTGGCTGTGTCCCCACCCAAATCTCATCTTGAATTGCAGCTCCCATAATTCCCAGTGTTATGGGAGAGACCTAGTGGGAGGTAATTGAATCATGGGGGCTGGTTTTTCCCGTGTTGTTCTTGTGGTAGTGAATAAGTCTCATGAGATCTGATGGTTTTATAAAGGGGAGTTCCCCTGCACATGGTCGCTTTGCCTGCCACCATGTTAGACGTGACTTTGCTCATCTTTTGCCTTCTGCCATGATTGTGAGGCCTCTCCAACCATGTGGAACTGTGAGCCCATTAAACCTCTTTCCTTTGTAAATTACCCAGTCATGGGTATGTCTTTATTAGCAGCATGAGAATGGACAGACTAATACAATTAATTTTCTACTATTATTTCTATTATTGCATAGCAAATCATTGCAAACTTATCACCTTAACACAACACCCATTTATTATGTTTCAATATCCATGGGTCAGGAGTCTGGGTATGGGTTAACTGGGTCCTCTGCTCAGGGTTAACTGGGCTGAAATCAAGGTGTCAGCTGGGCTCATCTCATCTCATCTCATCTCAGGCCCAGAGTTCTCTTTCTTTCTTTCTTTCTTTTCTTTTTTCTTTTTTTTTTTTTTTTTTTTTGAGACTGAGTCTCACTCCATCGCCCAGGCTGGAGTGCAGTGGCCAGATCTCAGCTCACTGCAAGCTCCGCCTCCCGGGTTTACGCCATTCTCCTACCTCAGCCTCCCAAGTAGCTGGGACTACAGGCGCCCACCACCACGCCCGGCTAATTTTTTTGTATTTTTTAGTAGAGACGGGGTTTCACCGTGTTAGCCAGGATGGTCTCGATCTCCTGACCTCATGATCTGCCCGTCTCGGCCTCCCAAAGTGCTAGGATTACAGGCTTGAGCCACCGCGCCTGGCCTCAGAGTTCTCTTTCAAGTTCATTGGTTGTCGGCAGAATTCAGTTTCTTGAAGTTGTAGGAGTGAGGCCCTCAGCTCCTAGAGGCCACCTGCCATTCCCTGCCACATGTCCCTGTCCACAACACGATAGTTTGCTTCTTCAAGGCCAACAGGAGAGCATCTCTGCTGCTTCTTGTCTCTTTTAAGTATTAACTCAGGATTATACTCTCTTTTGATTAACTCAAAGTCCATTGAGTACAGACCGTAAAACCCTTTTTGCCTTGTAATGTAACGTAAGTCACAGGTTCTGCCTACATTCAAGGGAAGGGGATTATACAGGGTACATGCACAAGAAGGCAGGAATCTTGGGAACCATCCTAAAATTCTGCCTATCACACAGTGGCCCCTGGATGTATCCAAATAAACAGAGGAAAAACCTTCTTGTTTTGCTTTGTTCCATTTTTAGGAGAACAAACATTCCTAGGGCACTAAGCCTGCTATCTTGCATAACTCAGCCATGGTGAGATTGTTAAATAGGGAGGAAAAGGGAGCATGGTGAACCCAAAGATGCAGGGCAGCCTTACAATGGCAGTGGAGCAGCTCATGAATGAATGGATTGAACTGTGGTTGAACTGTTACTTAAGAAAAGGAATAGATTTTTTAAAGAAGGAAAAATGGGACAGTTTTCCCTGGAAGAGCTCCATTAGTGCCTGTCTGCCTGGCTGTAGTGGACACATAATACTAGTTAATGCTCTGTGACCAAATGACGTCACTGAGAGCAAAGGCATTAAAGAGTTTTCCTCCTTTCCCTGTCTAAGAGATAGACAGGATGGTGGCAACTGATGAGTGAAATGTTCACCTGCTAATATGTGGCAGAAATCTGATATAGCTTCTCAATGGAGAAAGAAAAAGATTTTGGAAAGGAAAAGGTGAGGATACCTGGCCCTGAAGGCTGTCATTGTGAGGGCTGGTTCTTCCCGGGAGCCATGACTAGGCTGCCCATGCTGGAACTCATGCATTACTCTTTGCATCTGTGAATTCACAGTCCCAAGCAGCAGGCAGAGTTTAGCAGCCCAGAAACTCAGCACTGGCTTGCCTAACAAGCACAGTAGAAATGTGTTTAGGGTATCAGCAAAGCATGGGCACCAAAAAATGCTTTTTTTCAAGTAACTTGATATTTAATATTTAATAATGAGGGAAGATAATTTGCTGAACATCTTTACACTAAAATTTTATGATATGCCAATTTATTCTGAAATTTGGGATCACCTACTGCAGAAAGGTGGAGGTGGAGGAGTGAGGACTATAACCTTTTTGGTGTTCAGGGCCTCTAGAGTCTTGATGCCTGAGACCATCCCTAGGGAACTGTATAAAACCAAAATAGGAAGAGTCTGCCAATGTCATTGCTCCCAAACTATTTTGTCCAGGCAGAATCACAGTTAAACCATTTTGCACAAAGCCAGAAAACAAATGCTTTATGAGGGCAGGGATTCCTGTGTGTTTTGTTCTGTGCTGTGTTCCAACACCTAGCACCATGCCTGATACTAAGAGCTACTTGGGAATGTTCCATGGGTGGATGGATGTTTCCATTTTCATCAGTCTCTTCCCTTCCCTCATGTTGCCCAACTCCTTTCACTCCCACAAGATCCCAAGACATCATCAGAAGACATATTGTGTTTCTCAAACCTGCCTGATGATAAAAATAACTTTTCATGTAATATAGATTGCCAGACCTTTCTCTTGGAAATTCTGATTCAAAGTCTAGGTTGATGCCCAGGAATCTGTGTTTTTGCCATGCACTTCTGATGAGTCTTTTCTTCAGACCAACATTAAGATAAATAGGAGGGTGTCAGGTTTTCCCCACACAAGAATTGAAGAGCCATGGCCACTTGACCTGGTTTCTGAGGGGCTGTCAAAAGTTACCACCCTAAGCCTCTGGTCAGCTGTGCTGAGGGAATGAGGGACTAGGAAAGAGTCTTTTGGTCTACCTCTTAGTCACCTTGGCCCAGCCCTCTATCCTGGTTCCCACCTTCCTGAAAAGACAAGCCTAAGGGAAGGGGTGCTCAGAAGCTCCTCTACTTCTAGGACTGCCCACTTGGCTTCCTGCCCATTCTTTCCACAGACAGGCTTTATGTTCTGTCCCTTCTCCCAGCTGTCATGAGCACATGAATTCATGGTCCTCTCTGTTGGGTTTGGTAATGACCTCTGCCCCATTGGGTAGGAGTTGACTTCTTTATGCAGACAGAGCCTGATTTTTCAGTCAATCCCCCATTACTGAACCAGAGTGGAAAGAGATGAGACTGGGAGGTGGGAGGAGTCGGGTGGGGCTAGGACAGGAGTCTGGATCTGGATAGTGTGTCTGGAGGGTAAAGCAGACTGGGCCAGTTCTTGCCATTCCCGAGGCTGACAGGCTACCCAGGTGCTTGTGAGGTCCTCTTTGCAGCCATTTCTTAGTAAAAATCCTCCTCATTCCTAACATCTGCTTCAAGCAGAATTTCTGTTTAACTCACAGAGCGTTCCATCCTAGGATCCATGTGTACATGAAGAAGATGAGAGTGGGTTAAATGCTGTGTTTGGGGAAAGGAAGCCTTCCTTCCTTGATCTCTTGGATGAGTTGCAAAAACTCATCTTGCATCTGCAGTTTCCCTCCCTTAATACTCATTACCCCTGTGATGGTTTCTTTAATGTGTATGCTCACCCCTAGGTGAAACCAAGGAAACTGAGCGATGCCTTGAAAGATGACAGGCAATGGAGCCGGAAGGTGGAGGGCATGATAAGGATACCTTGGGGACGGGACCACAAGGGACAGAGGCAGGGCAAGGTATGGGCCAAAGTTCAGGTGGACAGCAGGGGCAGCGTGCAGAACTACAGCTCTGAGGCCTTGCAGCCAGAAGGCTGGAGGTGAGGCAGCCTTTCCATTCATCTCCGAGGCTTTCCTCCACATTTTTCAGAAACAGGACCCCCATCTACACCCCCAAGCAGGCTAGCCAGGGGCTTGTCAGTGTTGATGAGCTACTGTGCCAAGGGTGAGGAATGAAGGTACGGAGAGGAAATTAGCTAGTCATAGGTAGACGGTTGGTGTCTTGGAGCCTTCTGTGCCTCGGCTCAGGGGCAAAGGTTGTTCCTATCAGTATCATAAATGCCAAACCTTTCTCCGGCCTTGAGTTAGTTCTTAATGTGAATGCAGTAGTCTGGACTTCCACTCCACCCAGACTTTACTCCTGTCCTCTTCCCCACCCCAGGGTTGGCCAAAAGCACAACTTAAAACCACTGATGGACAATACTCTGTTTCTTTGTCTTGCAGCCGTCTCCAACCTGGACATCGAGAGTAAGCTGAGTGTGTACTACCGCGCCCCGTGGCACCAGCAGCGCAACATCTTCCTCCCGGCCACAAGGCCACCCTGCGTGGAGGAGCTGCACCGCCATGCCCGGCAGAGCCTGCAAGCCCTGCGCAGAGGTGACAGATCCTGGGCTCGGGGGCTTTTGCAAGAGACAACTCAGAGGTTGTCCCATCCAGGTGTCCTCTGTCCCATCAGCCCCAACACACCCCCTCGTTGTAGCAAGTACTTTGAAATGCTTCCGTTTCTACCCTGAAATGAAATCCATGGGTAATATGCCCTACCCATACATGTAAGAAAGAATAGCATTATGGTCTAAATATGATAATAAAGAGAAATTGAAAGGAAATTATTTATAATAATATCTATTTCAATATGCAAATGCTCAGGCGTGACCTCACTAGAAGACATCATGAAGCATGATGTTTGCACTTGTCAAAAGTAAGTCTGGATTAAGTACAGACCTTCAGAAACTATTCCAAGGGGCAGGAGGGCATGGCCATTAAAACTGGTACATTCAGTATATATTAGAAATGGGCAAAAAAATAAATACTTTGGATTATAATGGATTATATGAGTTTGACTCATAAATAGGCACTAGGCTTTTCCCCTATAAGAGATTCTGATGGAACATTTAAAATTGTGTGAGACCTGGGACACCTTTTCATTGACCATCCTTTGCATTATGGGATGGCTGTCATCTTTGGCTCCCACCCAATCATTCTAACAATTAGAATGATCCCCTAGAGGGCTCTTCTGCTTCTCTTGAGAACCAGTGATCAGTCTAATGCCCCCATTCTTTAGTGGGTCACATGGAGGCCTAGAAAGGTGAGGAAACTTGTTCAGGGTCACACATAGCAGATCAGGTGTGGTACCAGGACCCAACCTAAGCATCTGAAATGCCTGCCAGAGCTCTTTTCCTCCTTGTCATACACTGTGTCTCATGGAAATAGATACTGATATTTACATGTCTCTCACAGTCCTGAGAAATCTAGAGATAGGCTCATAGCAGTCAAAATAGGAATACAGCTCTTTCTTACACTGGTTGCTTTTCAGTGCCTTAAAACCATTCTAATTAGGACAAGGGGAATAAAAAGTAGCATCATTGTTTTAGAGCCCCCTAAAGTGGGTATCAGTAGGGGACATGTCAGCTTTTTCTGGCCTTTAGATTCTTGCTATGGAGATAGATGGTGTCTACACATTCAACGTCTTTCTTCCAAATTCCCTGCACTCTTTTAAGAAATGGCATTTTGCAAAAGTATTAAAATGCAAGTAAAATATTTTAATGTCATTATCAAACTGGAGAAACAAAATGGTGATAAATATTGTTTTCATCTTATTTATTCCACATTTGTATAACTCCTGCCTTTTCCCCTATCCTCATCTTTAATAGTTTGTTGCCTTCAATTACCATCTTTTTCTCCCTCCTCCTCTTTTTTCCCTTCCTCATCTTTTTTTTTCATTTTAATGAAAGAGCTAACCTCCTAATATCCCTAAAGCAATTGTTTCTAAAAATTTTCCTTGGTTATTAGGGGAAGACAATGTGACACTTAAAATGAAGAGTGATGATCAGTATCCTCTAGAAGCATCTTTGGCACACTTACCATTCACTTCAATTTTATAGTTGGCTAAAAAGTTCTTTTTTAACTTAAGCCACCTTCTGAAAATCTTTCTTTCCACACTTGCCATTCCTTTGCAGCCTGGATTAGGCACCCTTCCCATAATATTCTGTGCATCCTCCCATCCTGCCACTTATAATCTTATAAGCAACCACTATGGGCCTGTTTTGCCAACCAACCACTAATAAGCCATTAATCTATGAGCAACTCAAGGGCAAGGATGATATCTTATTAATTTATTTTATTCAAAGCACTTAGTATGAAGCTGACATATAGTAGGTCCTCAATGAACATTTGTGGAACTGAATCAAGTTTTGCAGAAAACTGGTTGAACACTGAGGGCACAGGATGACTATAAAGGAATCTAATTGTTCTCACAAAATCCTTTCTCAGGTCTCATCATTAGAAAGCTTGGGTAACATTAGCCCTTTAGGTGTAATTATTTTTATCCCTTTATTTTATTAATAAGTCATCCCTGATTAGGATTTTATGGATTCCACCAGATAACACCAAGCTGCTTGTAAACTATCACATTTCACTGCTTTGTCATGTTTAGACTTAAAGCAGAACAGAAGAACAGCAAGTGCCAATATCAGTTTTCTCTGAACCTCCTCCTGGGGGTGGTGAGACAGGGATGTAGGGCCTCCTGGGGTTTGGAAGGAAGACTGTGGAGATGCGTTTTACCCTCCACAGACTGGCTTGTTCTGCGGTTGGCTTGATAGCATATCTTGGGTGTAGTAGTTTTAATAGCACTGCAGAGAGCCATAAACAAGAATTATAGCCATCATGGAATTAAAAACATGCAGTGTAGAATTAAAATTAGAAAGTGACTTTTTTTTTTTTTTTAACCTTGTCCAAGAAACACAATAGCATACTGCTGTATTCATCAGCATAATCTGCTTCTGCCATCTGGTGGCCATGAATAATACTGACCTATCAGACAACTGCCATGCTCAGCAAATGCCGCAGTGAGCATCCCTGTAGGTTCTCTATTTGGACAGCTGGAATAGCCTGACTTCCACCATGATGGAGTGGATAATGAAGCACAGACAAATGAGGCTGTGGTGGCAGCAGCTCTGTGCTTCTTTTGGAGGTGAGACTGTAAGGAGACAGCTGGGGGACCAAGATTAAAACCTAGAAATTGGCTGCCTTCAAGATCTGCTTAATAGCAAACCCCTCAACAAATTTTATTGAAGGCAAGGGAGTGTTCTAGAACCTAGGAGTCAAAAAGCAATAACGTATGCTGCCCACAAGGAATCCCTGGTCTAGTGGAGAGACAGACAAGTAACCAGGTCATTTCAATACAGTGATAGGGAGGCTAAGAAGAAATGTACCAAGTCATTCCATAGAGCTTCAGGGAGGGCTTCATGGAGGAAGTAGCATCTAAATGTATTTCAAGTTATTTAGGCTCTGATTACTTCTTTCGTTTTCTTAGTAATTCTTTAATGCTCAGAGCCAGTAATGGCTTTATGTGATGCTATTGTTTATGTTCATAAATCATGGAGAGAGAGATTCATAAGCAACTATAAATAGATAATTATATTTTATATTTCCTTTCCTTTCAAGTTTCGGGCTGCAGCATAAGTTTCATTGGTCTGAGGGAATAAGGAGCAGGATTCCACTGCAGTTTCAGGCTCTAGTGAACTAATGTTCTCCCTACCTCAGCACCAGAAAAAAGGTATTATTAGGGAGCCATTAATCTAGCCTGCCTACTCCCAGCCTAGGGCAAAGAAAGAGATATATTTAAGATTGTGTAGGAGGGGAGCAATTGAATGGAAAATTGAGTTGATGTTTCCCTTCCAACTACTCCCCTCCTTTCACTTCTTCCTAACCAGGAACACCTGTAAGCGGCTCTTCTGTATGGATTTAACAATGTAAACACTTTTCATTGTGTTACCCATTTAGAAAAGCCCACTGTTTGCTTGCATAATGATGGTGGCATTGGAGGTGGGCACTTTAACAAGGAAGACATTTATCTTAAACAGCCTTCTGATAAACATTGACTTTGGAGGCAGTTTAGCAAAGGCTACCTACATGGTTTTGAAGACTTTGCTCTAATTGCTTATGGGAGCCAACATTTGTCAGAAGAATCCCAAGCAAAGGGAGATGGGGAATACTATCACACCTTCTCGACACAGACACTATGTTCAGGCAGCGAGGCACACGGACAGCCAAGTCAGACATGGATAGAAATCAGAAAGTTCAAGAGTGCTCAGTTCCTAGTTTAGGGGGCAGCACATTGAATGGGGCAAAGAAAATGGAGCCAGCATTGGGGAGGCCTGTCAGAAACAAGTAACAGGACCTAGAAAAGCCTATGGCAGTGAAGGCACCTGCCACAGCCCATTCAAAATACAGAGAAATTGAATACATTCTAATTTTTAAAACTAGACTCTAATGAAAGCATAAATTCACTTTCAGTCACTCAACAAACATGTGATACAAATACTCCCAACATGAGTTATTTCCAGGTACCAACGGTTGAAAAATGGACTCACACAAATTCCTGAATATGTAGCAATCAGCTCCCCTGAGCCAGTGACAGCCAGCTCCCGTACCCAGTGAGTGGGCCAGACAGCTCTGGTGTGTCTGTGCCTACTTTCCACTCCAGTACTGATGGCAGCAAATCTTCCACTATGTTCTCAACTTTTGTTGTTGTTGTTGTTGCTTGTGTTATTTTGAAATAAGTCACACTGAACTCAGAAGTGAACCCTCTTGTACAGATTATGAGATGGACCCACTGAAATGTATGCATCCAATTTCGTATTAATAGTAAGTGAAAATTCAATTAAAAACCATTCTGAAAATCTTATTTGGTATACAAATTAGCTAACGTAATGAAAACTCACTTTTTTTTTTTACAGCCTTTTGCTAACACTCCCAAGGGGAAAAGATAAATGGAAAATGCCAAGTGTATTTCAGTATTACTGCTTTTTCTCCTTCTCAGAACACCGGAGCCGGAGCGATCGCCGAGAGCAAAGAGCAGCTGCCCCCCTTTCCATTGCAGCTCCTCCACTGCCAGCCTACCCTCCAGCTCACAGCCAGAGGAGGCGTGAGGTTAAGGACCGTCACTTTTTAACGGTAAGCTTGGTGGCCACCTGTAGCCCTATGCTTGCTCCTGAGGAAACATCAGTTTGTCTGGGAGTCAGTTTCCTGCCTCCCAGTGAAAGAGGCTGGGCTGGCTAAGAGCTCAAATCACGGGCATTTGGGAACAAATTAATTTCCCCTGCTTTCATTCCTGAAAGAAATGCCTCTTTTTTGGAATACAGACATATTTTTTAGTTAACTGGTTGCACAATGCAGTAAAGCAAGAATAGTTACAGACTAAAATCAGGAAAAAAAAAATATGTACTTCAAACCTCAGTTCTTCTGCTTGCAAGCTGAAGGATTCAGGATGTTACTTATGTTCTTTGCCCTCAGTTCCCTCATCTGTAATACAGGGATATTAATAGTACCTGGTTTATAGGGCTAGAGGATTAAATGAGATAAGGCATGTAAAGTGCTTAGCCCAATGACTAACTGATACAGAGTAAGACCTCAAGAAATGTTAACCACAACTGCTACTACTGTTATTACTAGTAAAGTAACAGCATGGCTGACTTGGTGGGGTGATCTGGTAAAGAACTTTAGTGTTGTGAAAAATTACCATTTGAAGAGTAATCATGTCATTATTTCATGCTTTCCCATTCTCCAAAGGAGGCTAATTCTCCAGGGTAACTTAATACCATGGTGATGTCATCGCCTCTGCGGCTTTCAGTCCTGACCAGATGGATGTGGCTGTAACTCAGCCCAAGCCCTTAAGCATGGGTCACAGATGATGAAGCTGAGCCCAGCTCAGAACACCCGCAAGCACTATCAGCAGCCACTACAAACACATCACTGCAGATGTGCCTTCTAGGGCCTCAGTGGGGACAACTGAGCACTTTGTGCCTCTAAGCAGGCAACATTGAAGTGAGGGACTATGGCTTTTGGGACCAAATCAGCCCACACTGCCTGTCTGAATGTCTGCATTCCTGCTGTCTTGTCATTCTGGTTCAAGATCCAAAGTCTAAAGAAGTTACAACAGTGTGGGTATGAGTTAAGGTTTTTATTAGAAATTAAATTTGCATGTATGACTCTAAATTGTGCACTCTTATGGCTTTTACAATATGCAAGAGAGATGCAAAATATTTGGGTCACATGGTGCCAAATATCCAGCCAAAAACAGACTTCATCTAAATGAATCCACATGATATAACATATCCAGATAAGACCTTGAATGATATTGGACAAAATATAAAAACATTTTTCCTATTTGTAGCTGGACTGCAGGCAGGTCCTTCGGTGCTCATCAAGTGCACACTGAGTGCCATGTCGCACTCACTACATTGTTGCACTGCAGCCCAAGGATAAGAAAAGGAGATAAGGGCCTCTTAGGGCTTTCTAGTTCTTCAGATAGAGCAGTTTCACATGCTAGTGATTTGTCATAAAGAAGTTCTTAAGCAGCTCAAATCTGCTTGCTGAGGCATTTGCTTTTAATGAGGCATTTTCTGCATTAAAATGTTAAAAATATTTTCCCATTCATTATAACATGTTTTATGGCTAATTAAGTTGGTTTTCTTGGAAGGGGTAGGTGAAAGAGAAGAATTTTGAGCATTTACAGAAATTACATAAAAATATAACCCTTTTTCATGATCTGCATAATTTTTAATAATGTCTAAATACTAAAGTAAGACTATAGGAAAAGCTTAAAATGATGAATAGCAATGAGAGTACTTCATTTACTTACCTAAGAAATATCAATAAAAGAGGACTATGGATTACACTTAGGTAAACTTCAGTAAGTTTGTCCATCCCAAATGATAATACTTAGTATTTCTAAGTAATTTTAACTGTTTATTTGTTCAAGAGTTTGGGTCACTACAATGATTAGAAGATTTTCGTTTGAGTTATATCCCTTAGGCCTGGATAGAACATAGTTCAAGCTTACAAGAGTGTATATTGCTGAAAGACAAATGGCTGCAGGTAAAGGGACAGGAAATTTGTAGTTAAATTGCTAGATAGACATTTTCTTAGACAACTCTCCTTTCATGTATGAGATTTGGTGAAGCCATGCTTTTCTTCCTTTAAGAAAGCATTCATAATGAGATTGATATACAGTCTTCTGCAACTCTGCAGGCTATTGTACTGTACCTTGATCATTAATGGCATGGACCATGAAGTTAAACTGCCTGACTTTGAATACCAGCTCTAACACTTGCAAGCTGTATGACCCTGGCAAGTTAGTCATTTCAGTGTCTTGGGAATGGGAGTAGATAGTACCTCATAGCCTTGGGATGATAATTGAACGTGATAATACATGTAAACAGTACCTCATACATAAGTACTATATAAGCATCAGACGTTATTATTAGCCAATCAATTCCCTGAAGTATCTATTATATGGTGATAAGATCATAGGTCTAACTGTGTTTAAATCCCAGCACTACAACTTTCTGGATGTGTAACTTGGAAAAAGCTATTGTATCTTTCTGACTCCCAGTCTCTTTATCTGTAAAATGGGGATAATATCAACTTTTCAAGGTTGTTAAGGAGGCTAAATATGACATTTTATAAATAAGATTAAACTATGCATGTGTATTTGTGCAAGTGCCCAGCACAATGCCTAAAATACCTGAATGTCAGTCTATATTGAAATCGTTTATAATAAAATTCTTACCATCAAATGAAAAACCTTAACATATACTCACATATACTAGAGGAAGTATAAACTGTTACACTCTTTCTAGAGGGCAAAACTCTAAATATTCATAACCTTTGATCCAGCAATTTTACATCTAGGAATTTATCCCAAGGCAATAATCAGTGTATGCAAAGATTTATTCACTAGGGTGTTCATCAAAGCACTGTTTACAATGGGAAAATTAATCACAAATATCTCAAATGTCCAACAATAGGGACTTAGTTTAATGAATACTGATATAACTATAGGATAGAATACAATATCAAAAATAGTGTTAGAGAAGAATATTTAATGACATGGGAAAATGTATGTTTTATTATCAGGAATTTTTACATAGTTTATAAATTTGTGTATAGTATAATCTCAAAAAATGTCAATGACTGTATATGTATGTGTACATATACATATGCATAGGGGGAAAAGGCTGGAAGGTTGTATATCTGTGATTCCCAAACTGTGTGCTTAGGTGCCTTAGGGCACTGCAGTGAACTCCTAAGGGTGCCATGGGATATTTTAAAATTTCAAGGGACAAAGTGTCATCTGTCTGGTGGCATCTGGTGATGGCTCCAAAGTAACCTCATAACTCCTACAAGTGAGAAGAGAGGACGCTTGGTTTCTTGACATTTAATTTGTACCAAAAGTTCTCTAGGGGGAACTCACAGGAAACAGGACAAGCCAATTTAGCATAAAACCCTAAACGCTTTGTTAGCTGAAAATTCAAGGAGTATCTCTAATTAAAGCCCTTCTAGGAGTCCTTACTCATTAAGGGTGGCAAAGGAGGTCATTTCAGGGAAAGGCTTCCTAAAAAAAGGGTATCTATTCCATCCTGCTGGATTCTGATATTCTATAGCCAGAGATTAGTTTAAGGTCATTTATTTGGGACATGAAGTTACTGTCGACCTGAGCTACAGGGAAGAGATCGAAACAAACTTCACGAAATCAACACTAGCACATAGCATCCCAACCTTTTCTTTAATGCACCACAGAAACTACAGCTTTAGGCTGGTAAAGGATCTGAAGAGTTATCTGGGCCTAGCTAGGAACCAAATGTAAAAAGTTTGTAGTAAAAATGTTCCCAAGGGCAATATGAAAGAGAAATTGCCTGGGATCGACTTCTGTCCACATGAACTCTTGGTTGCAGACTGACTTGTTAAGCATCAGAATACTGATTATTTAGGGAAAGGTAGGGAGAGGAAAGGGTCCCCAGTGAGGTGTGTTTGTGTACTTTAGTACTTTTGTTTACAAAAACCCAGTTACTGAAAGCCATTTGCCTCCAGGCAGAATTTCTGGGGAATTTTTCTTCCTTCTCTAGGCTGTGGTCAAATTGAGAATGGCAAATGGGTATCAAAACAGGAGCGTTTGCCAGAGCTGTAACAGGTATCCTGTTCCCTGCAAATCCAACCATGTGTTTTCACTCTTGGTACTAACCATTAGAAGTAGTCCACACAGCTTTTTTTTTTTTTTGGTAAGAAACAATACTTTTATATGCTCAAAAACTATTAGACTTACAGTGCTGATGGCTGGAAAGTAGCCTGTTTGAGGCAGTTGAATACATAGGTTTTTTGGTGGATCAAAATATACACTGAGACTCCCAGGTAACTGATGATAATGGTGATACCCTAGGTCCCCATCTCCTATTATTTCCTCCAAAAATGATATCGAACAAGAAGGTAAAAATAAAACTACACAGAAAAACACACCATCAGCATAACTTGAGGACAGAGAATTCCCAAACATCACATTGACTGTTAAGTAAAAAGAGAGAAAACACCAAGTCTCAGCATATTTCCTCCTGTTACAAGGTGAGGGAGGGCAGATTCAGAAAGCTACATGGAAGAGACGAACTAGCAGTGGGTCTTAAGATTGATATAAAACCACCACCAGAAAAATTGTCTGCCCTAAGTCTGAAAAATAGTACAAATTTTTTCAGATAGACACAAACTACAAAAAAGGACCTAAAAGTATGTATATTTTACAGGAGCAGTTTTCTCTATATAAAGCTTCTAGGGGAGACAAAGACAAACAGGAAGGGAAATCTGCCCTTCAGCAATTGGGAGTGAAGAAAAAAAGAGGCAAAAAGGAAATTTCTAGGACCCTGCAAGACAAAATAAAACCAAAACATTCAAGGACACGCAGGAGTTGTGTGTGTCCTTCAACTCCTGCATCACCACCAAAACAAACAAATACACTAAAATATTCGACTTCGACGAACTGACAGAAGATGGTGCCATTAAACCAGGGATCTTGTGAAACACACCAAAGCCACACAAATGGAGTAAGAGATAGATTAGCAGATCTACATAGAGTGATTGCAAAAGATCAATTAAAGAATATATGAAGCAAGGGTTTCATGTCCAAC